CGCTAGATCCTCACTGCCCTCACCCTCACCTCGACCCTCCATCAGACCCGCCATCTTCCCCAAGCTCCGTCCCTTCACCTTGTGCTCCCCCTGAACTCTCCTATGCCGCTGCCACTTGCCCTCCTCCGCGCGAGCCCACCTCCAGCAGCCTTACAGCGACGTCGATAACCTCAAACAGTCGCGGTCGATTCGTTCAACAATACCCCGAGGCAAGATCCCTCTTGCTCGTTGACTTGACATTTTAGTATTTATATCTGTTAGTAATTGGTTACATAGATTAGTTTGTGATATAATTATCTGTGTGGGATTGTTGATGAATAATATTAGATAAATCATGATGATATGATAAATAGCATTTTTAGAATAATTATAATAAATTAAAAGAATTTATTTTGGTAGCGGAATCATTTCTAAATAATAATATTAATTTCAAAGGAATTTATTTTAAGAATGGAAACCTTTTAGATAATTATAATAATTTAAAAGGATTATCTTGGAAAAATAATCTTTTTAGAATAATCATAAATAAATTAAAGGAATTTATTTTGAAAAAGGAATTATTTTAGATTAATTATAATTAGAAAAGAAATTATTTTGTAAGAGGAAATATTAAAAAGAATATGAATTATTTTAGATTAATTATAATTAGAAAAGAAATTATTTTGTAAGAGGAAATATTAAAAAGAATATTTAAAGAATGTTTTAATTAGAAAAGAAATTATTTTGTAAGAGGAAATATTAAAAAGAATATTTAAAGAATGTTTTTAGAATTATGTAAAAGGAGTTATTTTGGAAAATCTCGTGATTCGTGATTCTCGATTCTCATTTTACTTATGTGATATGCCATGATATCGTTGCACATGATTGATTGTATTTATTGTTTCCTGTTGTGTTTGAGAACCCCTAGTAATTCAGGACTTAGTGGCTTCGTGCGTCATGAACGGACTTAGTGACATGTGTGCGTGCGTTGACTGAGTTTAGGTGGTAAATCCGAGTTTCAATGAGAATTTTGGTTGGCTTAGAAAAAAACGAGAAGAGTTGGGATAGGGAAGTCCATGTTCATGTGATCGGATATAGATGTTGATGTATCTTCCAGGCTCGCCCCATGATCTAGTGTAGCTTGGGGTTAGTTTGTTGGGTCAAAGTGAAGCCAATGTAGTGACTTTGGTTCGTGAGTTTAATATCCACCTGATTCTTGCTTGAGTTCGAACTAGGCCGGAACCGGATTGCGTGTAGCCCTCTGACCGATCTAGTGTAGCGGCGTATTGGGTGCACGCAGGGGATTTATGAACAATCAATATCCGATGATAGGAACATTGACTCTGTGTGAGATATGTACCAATGTCCTGTTATAGAATGGCTAGTTACATGACATCGATACTTGGATGATTACGAGTTGTTATGAGACACGGACCAGTTACCTGACATCGTTACTTGGATGAGTACGAGTTGTGAGATACGGACCAGTGAGTTGTGATAGGATGGCTAGTTGTATGACCATGTTACTTGGATGATTATGGTTTATTGTGAGATGTAGGCTAGTTGTTTTTCTTTCCATACATAGATCGGGATTAATATTTAATTATCTACAATTTGAGACATATGTTATATACATGAGGGTTTCCTTATTTGAATTATTTCGCTCGACGTACTACGTCTCTCATTGTAGATTTTTAAGTATTAATTCCATCTAGTCGTATGACTTTGTTACTTGGATGATTATTCTAATGACTAGCTGCATGATCGACTTGTTACTTGATTGATTTTGTTGGATCTCCAGCTACACATCTTTTTGTTATTTCTGTATTTGTATCGTTTTCCGCTTGGGTTTTCGATCGTTCCATTCGTTTTGTAGGATCTTGTTGTGTGCCATGTACGTTGACATACACCTGTTTTCTCTGGTGTATGTCAGATTTAGATGACGGACATGCCCAGCTTGGAGATATGTCGGAGCCAGACGACCCAGAAGCTGAAGCTTAGTTATTTCATTTAGTTGTTCGATGTTCCTTGTTTACTTTTGTAGCACTTTTCGTTCCAGTCTGATCGATGTATATTATATTTTCCAGTATTTTATTTAGATCGTTTTGTATCAGGGCATGTTGACCCGAATATTATGTCTGGGATGATATTATATTTGTGATATGGATCTTTCTGTTCTGAGTTGCTTATTATATTCTCGCTACTGTGATCGGGGACCTGTGACTTCGCATTATATTTATTTCCAGACGATTAGCGTATTAGGTTGAGGAGAAACGATTATTTTATTTATTCTCCTTAATCTAATACGTCACGAGCTTGCTTGCGTCCCGATTCACTGGTATTTTAGGAAGCGGGGCGTGACACAAAGGTCACAATTCTTCTCCAAAATCTCTCCACTCTCAGCTCCCCTAAATTTTAAGCATATATCTTGATGCAAATTCTTATGTTTAAAATTTATTAATATGTTAGATTACATATTACAATGTCATGTTATGTATGAATATTATCTCATATGACACCTGGTATTATATACATATCCCTGGTTTTTACAACATTTTCTAAAGTTTTCTAAGTGAAGTATATAATTTTAAAAAACAATTCGAAATCTTCAGACTCATTCAAGATATGATGCTTTAATTTTTCCACGTCTCCTTTACTATATAAATATAGGCTATGCATGTGGCCTCATATTGTATGATGAATATTATTTATCAATGAGATCATATACTATTGTTTGTGGATAATAAATATTTTAAATCTTTTATAGGCTTAACTGAACTTATATACCTTATAATTTACCAAAATTATACTTATATACCTCTACTTGTAGCTTGCTACACTTTTTTTTAAAAGTCAAGATAGCGTATCTTGCGGCACTTAAATATCCTAATGTTTTCTAAAATTTTATACTTGTATCTTTTGTCTTGTTACCTAAACATGGGAACACTCTCTGTATTTTTCCTAAATGAGTGTCATGGTATAATTATAGGACAATTCTATGCTTTCTATTATTTCCATAAATATTTTATTAATATGCGATTATCTATTAATATATTATATATTACTAATAGTTAATTTGATGTAGAGTTTTACAATAACATTGGAAGTTTTAGTGACCAAATTATACAAATTTAAAGTAACATATAATATAATTAATTAATAATGATAATTAATTTAGTTTAGTTACTATTAGAATGTAATATCAAAAAAGAATAGGGGTAATATAGTCATTGGAAAGTTTTTGACAACTCACTCTTTTAAAGGGGGTATGATATATAGAGGATACTGGAGAAGCACTGGTCAGCTTTCCTTCCCCGTGAACTGACAGGTGTATGACATGTGAGCCCCCACATCAATGTGACTAGTAGGGGGCTCACATGTCATACACCTGTCAGCTCACGGGGAGAAGAATTGGTTTGGCCCATCCGGCCCGGTTTGATCAGCTCGACTCAACTAGGCCCACCTCGATTGGCTTGACATTCTAGCTCGGTTTGGCTCAGCTCCACTAACTCGATTCAGCTTGACAAAGTTGATGCGACGCGGCTCACCTGACACAGCTTGATTGACTCAGCTATACTAGCGCGGCTTGGCTCACTCTCTTGGCTCATCTGCCTTGACTCAGCTAAGCATATGGCTCAGGTCATCAGCTGGATCGGCTCAGTTTGATTTGATCGAATGGCTCAGTTCGGTTTATCTGGTTCATGTTGGCTTAGCTACCTTGACTCAGCTACAAGTTGGCTCGTCACGACCCCGCTGGCTTGGTTCGGCTCAGGTCAAAAGTGACTTATCACTTACCGCGAGTGTTCGAAAAGGAATCTTTAGGCTGGCTCCACTTTGAGGTCCGTCAAAAACGGAGGCCCTGCTGAGAGAGGCCCGACGCGAATATGTTGAAGTATCTATTTGCTGTTTCCTCACGAGTAAAAGATTGTATCAAATTTATTTCTCTGGGAGTTACGGTATCATTTTTCTAGTTTCGGCATATGGCTTCATGTTTTAGAATGCAAGCACAATCTTTCACATATCCGGTGACATTTTGTTCTTTTAACAATGGATATATGTGAGGCATTCTCCTGCTGTACGTCTCATCCTCTTTTTTTTTCCGAGATTGTTCCATGAGTTTTTTCTGGCTTTTCTTCCCTATGGAAATCTTGTGCGTGTAGATGTCATTTTCTTTTTAATTAAGGCAGCAAATGCTTGTTTCTACTCAAGTCGTACATGTCCTTGTTCCCAATTAAGTACCTTGACAGATATAAGAACAGGCAAACGTAGCCTGGAGAATGAAATACGGTGAACGGACTTTATTTTATGCAGGTTTTTCGACTTTCGACTGGCTTACGTTGGGGATATTCTATGCAGTTTATTTGCGATAGAAATACGGAGGATCGGACTTTATTTTGAATTCTCCTTTTAACGAGTCCGAACCGACACTCAAATCTTTGTTTGAACTGTTTTCATTTAAATTTGTTAGAAATTCCAGCTACATACATACAACCTTAAAGCAGCACAATACAGGTTTCATTTAAGTCGTTTGCCAGCATCTCTCAAGATGTATACCATGCTACAGTCACATACACAGAAGGAAGTGTCTAATATGTATTCTCATCTCAAAATGCTTAATACATGATCAGTATAATACTACGAACTATAAGATATAAATTTAACACGAAATCATAAAGTCTTTTTTTATCTGCTTCGTGATGTCCTTTCCAGTGGAATTTCACATCACTTCTAACTCATGCATATATAAATTTAACACGAAATCATAAAGTCTTTTTTTATCAGCTTTGTGATGTCCTTTCCAGTGGAATTCCATCACTTCTAACTCATGCATTCGAGCTCCAGATCTCACTAATCTACAGTATAATTCATCAGTTACTCCTAGTCAAGCGCATGAAGGACCGATCTAACAAGCTAACAATGAGTGCAATGACAATCTAACAAGCGCATGAAGATTGTAAATTACACTTACAATGAGTGCAATGACAATCTAACAAGCGCATGAAGGACCGATCCCAAGTAAATTCTCAAGAATTTGCTAATCATAGTTTTCGCGAGTCATTGCATTTTTAGACAAAAGTTAGACCAACTTGTACAACTGACTGCAACAAACTCTAAAGTTCGTTAGCACAATACGCCAACAAATCAGATATTTTAACCATTAGCAATTCTGCTTTACATTTTACTTTGGAAAATATGGTTAAATCTATATATATTCTTTTGAGCAAAAAGGAGCATACTCCCAACTCCAACAAAGCGCAGCTGTGATTTTCTTTTAGCTGACCAAGGTTAAATAAATTAGACCTCTCTTCCATAAGCAAAGATGACACTAGTTTACCTTGTCACATATCCATCTATAACCAGACAAAAAGAAAACTGCATTTTGCAGTTTCATCGTGGAGTCAAACTTCTAGATTGCTTTGCTGACAAACTTGAAGAACTGCTTAATTTCCTTTTCCTGGTCTCCCCAACCAACTTGTTCACATAGGCAATGTAGCCATCAACATCAAATTTTCTTTTGCAACCTGCATAATTCATGTATCGGATTTTCCCAAACACAGGTCTCTCTTTCCAGCCCTGCAATAAGAAAACATGGAACTATTTTTACCCAATACAAAGAACAGTTGACATGATAGTACCAGATTAGCCCAAAATGCCATAGCTATACACACGTGACTGTGTTGAGAAAACTATGTAGATACACTTCTTCTTTTTATCTGAACTTGATGAACTTAACATGTTATTTTAACTTCCTAAAGTTTCTTATTATAAATCTTCTCTACAGTTTAAACTTCTATAAAACTCCCAGAAGCCTCTGGATTGTATTAAGATGTTTAGAGAATTCTCATCTCCTATAGTAGATGACGCTCAAGAAAAGGGAGACTTCAGTTTCTTTTTCTTCTATTTTCTTTCTTTTTCCAACTTGCAACCTAGATCCACCTCTCAAAGGTGGAACTAGACAAGTGAAGGACAATGACTGAAATAGAAAACCTTAAGGACAAGCCATGAGTATGAAATACAGGCAGAAAGATAAACAAACATCCATGGTACATAAGTATTGATAAACAAACCTGATCATGGATCCCACATATGGACCACATGCAGCCAACATAGCCATTTGGATCTCTTCCATCTATCTGATACTGCAAGACAGAGAAAGCAAAGCATATAGTCAAACAAAAGGGATCACGTATTGATCCCAGTTATAGAAAGCTCTAAGAAGGTAAATAGCACAAGAATCATGGATGATCTCCCATGAAGAAAAAAACATGGTTTATCCTCCAATTAATTAATAGCTAAGAAGCATGGATATGGACATGGAGATGCAAAATGACAATTCCTCACAAATTAAGAATAAAGAATGCATGCATATATGTACGTAGTCATGTTTGTGTATGCAAAAAGTCAAAATACACTTCAAATGATATATAATAAAACATGATGATTACTTATTATCTGCTAAAAAACATTATTGCAATGTTCTATGCTTCAAACCGATGTCTCAAGACTCTCAGTCTCAGGTATATGAATTCAGATAAAAAGTACAAATAGGTCTTAAACACAACCTACAGAGAAGACGTATACCTTATCATTTAAATATATAGCTATTGAAAGTGCTTCTTCAGGGTTCGATGTCCATTCAAGGATTTTCTTGGCCCAATACATCCTGTAAAAACAAAAATATCAATTAAAGATAATGACATTTCCAGAAGATACTACCGTTGTATGTACGATCAGTAAGTAGGTTTTTAGTCAAATTCACTTTAAGAGAATTAAATATACTTGAATGGATGCCATACATTTAGTTTGTAATGTTTATTATACTTCTGACATCACTGTTGGCAGGTCAGCTAGGCCGTGTCACTGTAACAGGCTTCCCAGAAAGCACCAGGGTCAGCATACAATGAAGGGGATAATCCTTTAAGTAGTGTTGGGCAAAGAAAGTGGCTCTGGGCGGATAAAAGCGGCCATGGGGACTCAGATCAGTCAGTATAAAACTGAGTTACAACTTAACATGATAGTACAATTTCACTGCAATATTTTATACAATTTAACCATCCTCATTTAGAAAGATAACTATGATATATTATGTAAAACCTTAGCTAACATGTGTTTCTTTTCCAAAGTAACCTTCCTGTACAGGAACATAGAGTTTTCCAGAGTAACCCTCCCCCAAATAGGATTCTGACCTCTCAAACATCCATCCATGAGTAACCCTCCGCCAAACACACTTGTTTTCCATCAGAATGCATGAGAAGTACAAGAATATAGATACTATCAGGTAGTGTTGTGTATCACCAGAATGCATCCTCATAGGCAGTACTTCGAGGGAGAATAAGAACATTCATATAAACATTATCATAAGGCTGGCTGGATTCATCCAAAAATCAGGAACATTGGTTCTTTATTTTTACCTCATGAATCCATGCATCTTGCCATGATGAACCATCTCCAGTTGAGAGGCATTCCATAGCTAACAAAGGAGAAAATAATGTAGTTAGAGCAAGAAGGTGCTGTAACCTGTAACCACAAATCCAGTACTGTGATTTATATAAAAGATACTACCACTGTTCATAGGTGGAACTGTATCATAAACTTACAGGATCAACAGTTTTTGCTTTTTCTAGCTGCTCTTTCCTGCAAATCAGGAGACAGACGTAAATGAAGAGAATTACAAACATAAAATTAACATCTGATAACGATAATAGCGAATACGAAATCAAATCAAGACACTCACGTGTACAAATGCTCTCTTTTATCTGCAGCATGGTCCATCAATGTATTGCGAGCCCATTCCCATGCGCCTCGCAATGAGTCATACTGAGGTTGGTAATAGCAAAAGTTGTCAGCCAGTTCTCTTCGAATAATCAATTCCTCCAAGAATGTATCAACTGCCTGAGTAATTATCCATCTCTTATGAGTACTACTGTGAGATGGCTATACACAACCACACTTAATGTTTACAATGTTTGGCAATGACAAAACGACATATCAAGACATGATGTTAAAAAATGTTCAGATGGTTGAATGATATCCCATAAAAGATGGAGGCAACAGTGTGGCAATCCATCAGAAGCAATGCATTAAAAAATATAAAAGAAATGAGTAAATTGCCGCATAAGATCAGAAGCTTTGTTTCTAATTAGCATAATCTTGCTCTTCAAGTTGGCTCCTTCTATGGGTTTTACACACACACACACACACACACACATACATAGAAGATCACTAATGAATGTGTGTGTGTGTGTGTGTGTGTGTGTGTGTGTGTATAGAAGATCATTAATGAATTTATATATTTACATACTTGACGAACAAAAGTTGTTTAAAAACCTGATCCAATAATAAGATTTCCTTTTTGTTTCCTTGCATGCTAGCTGTTATTCATGTATTTTGACAAATTTAAGCAATTTAATTGTGAGCTCAAAGAATGTCTTAATCAAAACCGCGGAGAAGAAAAAGTATTCCTACAATACCCATGGCACAACAGTAAATTCCTCAGTAAATAACTTCAACCTTGCTTTCTTTTCCTTCTTTCAATATGCCCACTCTAAGATTTTTTGCATTGTTTGAGATGTTCAAAAAATGTTTCCCAGCAATTTCGTTATCCTTTCCTTACCCAACCTCATCCCCCACCTCCAAAATAAATAAATAAAACTTTTTCTGGCATTGATTAATGCCCCCACCTCCAAAATAAAGGAAATAAAACTTTTTCTGGCATTGATTAATGCCCCCATACTAACTTCAACCATTTCCCTGACATTTTTCCTTTTTAGCTGGAGCTTGATGAATCTAATGTTGATTATCTTCCGTTGGATGTCTTGTGACAAGTTGTTTCAATTGTACCCATCCATGAGCAAATGCGATAGTGAATTCATATTAGAATATGATTTCCAAGAATAAATATACACCAAAACTAAGTCACTAGATATATTTTAGTATGACGAAGCAACTATTCGATCTTAAGCATTTAGAGATAAAACTAATCAAAGAGAGAATAATACAAGAAGAAAATCACCTGGGGATTAGAATTTCTTAAGGACTTTGCTTCCAATGCACATCTTTGTGCAGAAATTTGTCCGAAGTGCAAATAAGGCGAAAGCCCTGACAACGCCTTCGGCTTTAATGGGTTGTTCCGGTCAGTGTGATAGTTTTTAAGCCTCTTTGTTAAAAACCCATCCTTGCTTCCCATTAACACCTCCATTGCGGCATCTTCCCCTGGTTCGCACCACCCGATCTCAGGCACCTCATATCCTTCACTAAAAGCATTAAATTACTCGCCATGTTTTAAGAAAATCAAAATAAAAGAGCTCTCCATATATGTGAAATTAAATGATATTTGGACAAAATAGCCTTTAAAGTATAAACCGTGCAGTACAGAAACCAAATACTGGTTTTCATCTCCTTCTGATAATCTATATTGCTGATTAGTTTACCATCTCTCCATCACCTGCTTTCAGCCAGTATATCAGAGGATTTTGAACCTATTTTTTGTCACCATATCTTCACTCAGGGAAATTTTCATCCTGAATCTTGTTAGGAAGACAGGATGCTCTGAGAATTACCTTTATGAGTACCAATTTCATTAAAATTTCAGTTTTTTACAGTATTTCCCAGTGGAAATTTCTACTAATAACCCTCTCACAATTCAAAAGGACATAGCAGAAGAAACCAATCCTATTAATGTACGCTTCCAAAAAAAATTACCTAAAAATCCATCAAGTACAACGGCTAGGTGCACTTTTCCACTCTCACGGGAAAAAAGGATCTTTCCTCTCTAAGTTACCTCAAATTCCGTTCCTGTCTTAAAGATCAAATCCAGGTTTAATAACAACAACAACCCATAATGCACTCTCCAGAATCTCAGAAACCATGTTAATAAAATCTTCTAATCTAAATATTTGCTAATACAATTCTTTTCATGGAAAAGAATATATTAAAAATGAAAAGAATCCAAAATGTCACACCTAACCACTTCAGCAATGAGTGCATCCCAATCAATCTCCGGCGGCTCACCAGCGCTCCACTCAACCTCGCTCCCCGAAATTTCAGGAAACTCAACAAGATACTCCGGCAACAACTTCTGAATCTTCGACCTAATCGTCTTCGCGCTGTACTCCAACTTCCCCGACGCCGCCCAAACCGGCACCACATTATGCGCATCCACCTCCAAAACCCTAACATTATCCCCCACTCTCCTCACAATCTCCTCTTTCCACTCCCTCACCGGCCTCAACGGCGAGAAGTCAGTAATCAACGTCGAAGCCCCACAATCCTCAACAAAGTTAGGGATTGTGTCGATTGCATCGCCTCTAAAGAGGAAGAAAGGGATGTTGAGGGATTTGAGCTTGGCGGAGAGCTGACGGAGGCCGCGGAGCATGAATCCGAGCTGGCGACCGTGGGCCCCAAGGAAGCGGTGGAAGAGGTTGAAGGCGACGGCGTGGCCCTGGTTTGGGTGCGGATTTGTTAGGGTTTAGGATCCGGATCCGGTTGGGGTTGATGGGGGAAGGGGATGGGGGAATTACAGCCGGTGCCATTGGGAGAGGAAAGGGTGCAGAAGAGAGGAGAGAGCTTTGGGTTTAAGTAGCAGGAGGTTGTGGAGGAGAAAGCGACACGCCATTGGGTAAGAGAACGGACTGTGGTGCCAACTGGATTGGCGATGGGTCCCATTCTCAGTGAATGGGTGAATTCTTGTGAGTTAATTGCTGGGTTGTTTTTGAAAACTAAGGCGGACGGTGGCGCAACGTATGAAACACCCGCCAGAGGAGCCCGTTGGGCCGAGAGTTGTAGGCCTTGTTCATCAAAAATTTTAGGCTTCATTTGGATACCATTGTGTTTTTCTTGTTGTGTTTTTATAAAAAAACATCATGATGTTGTGTTTTTCCCTTAAAATAATTTCAAAATATCATGTTAAGTATCTTTGATCAACACTAGTTTGACTCATTATAACATTAATATTAAAAATATTATTAATATATTCTATATTAATTATAATAAAATATATTATAAATAAAATATTATAATATTTAGTTTACATTATTATAGTATTATAAGTATTAAATGTAATGTAATATAATATTGTATAATGTATTATAATATTATATTATACTTTAATGAGTTATATTATATTATATTTATTATTATATTATAATTATTACATACTATTTTTCAAATAATTATATATTTAATTATTTTGGTATATGAATTTGTTATTGTTGTATATTATATTAATATTTTTATAATAATAATATTTTATTATTAATATAATATTATACTATTATTCATATAATATAATATTATTAATAATGTTAATATTATCTTATTACTAGTATGTTATTAATAAATTAATATATTATAAATATTTTAATATTATATAATATATTATAGTTTTTAATATGTTAGAGTTTATTAATAGTACTTTAATAATATATTAGTATTTATGATATAAATAAATATTATTATATTATGAATATATTATTTTTACATTAACATTTATTAACAAATAATTATTTTATTATTAAAAATTATTTTATTTTATAATAAATTATATTATTTATTACATAATATATTAATATTTTATATATTATATTGTATTTACTAGACAATATGTTTATAATAATATTATTATATTGTTATGGTATTATTAATATGTTACTATTATATAATATTTTATGTTACTATTATATAATATTTTATAATTATTAATTTATTTCAATTTATTTATTAAAAAGTTAATCATATTATAGCGATTATACTATTGTATAGTATATTATTATATTATTATTTATTATCAATAACTTTTTTATTATTTTTATTAGTTTATTTATATTTTATTATTATTTATTTATTTTATAATACATTATTAACATATTAAATATTAGTATTTAATATGTTAATATTATTATACAAGATATTTTATTTATTATATTTTGATATTATTTAATAAATATTATTAATATATTAAATTAACTATAATGTAGTATAGTGTATAGTATAATATAATAAGCATGTTGATAATAACTCTATATTAAATATATTTAATATATTATGTTAGATATTATATTAACACATTCTCAAACTCAAAACCAAAACATCAAACTTAAAACACCTAAAAGGTGTTTTGAAATAAGTGTTGTGTTTTTTGTTTGATGGTGATTTAGCTTAAAAACACCATGGTTTCCAAACACATTGTGTTTTGTTTTTAGCAAAAACACCATGGTAATATAATATAATAAGCATGTTGATAATAACTCTATATTAATTATATTTAATATATTATGTTAGATATTATATTAACACATTCTCAAACTCAAAACCAAAACATCAAACTTAAAACACCTAAAAGGTGTTTTGAAATAAGTGTTGTGTTTTTTGTTTGATGGTGATTTAGCTTAAAAACACCATGGTTTCCAAACACATTGTGTTTTGTTTTTAGCAAAAACACCATGGAAACAAGGAAAATACCATGGTATCCAAACGGAGCCTTAGTATATGATTTGGGTTTCAAGGATCAAAAAGTGTCATTTTTTGAGTTTTTGAATTCCACAATTGATGTTTGTTTTAACAAAATTTGTAGAATGTTGTATCCCAAAAAAATGCTAAAAACACTCATTTTTTAGAATTTGCCAAATCCTAAGAATGGGAGATGATTTAGTGTTGAAGAAATTTTCAAAAAAGACCCAATCCAAATTTTTTTAAAAAATTTGACCCACTCCACTTTTTATTACAGAAATAGACCCAATTTTTGGCCACGTTAGTATCTTGGCCAAAAACTAGGTCGTTGTAAAAAAATCAGCTTCCTAATTAATTGGGGTTAGCAACCATGACTAATTAGGACCACCCATTGTCACTTATAAGATTAGCACATCTAAACAAGTCGGGGTTGCGAAACTCGACTAATTTGGTCGGGGTTCCCAACTCCGACCATTTGAGAGTGATTTGGAATGCCCGCGCACACTGAACATTTGGCAGAGCTTGGGGATGCCCAAGTCGAAATAATCGGGGTTCCCAACCCCGACCATTTAGCAGAGTCTCCCCCACGCCTGAAGATGGGGAATCGGCTAACTCACCAAATAGTCGGGGTTCCCAACCCCGACTATTTATGGTGGATCTCGCTCGCTTATATATACGAACTGAACCCATTTCCCCCTCAAATTGTCGATTTTTTCTCTCTCTAACTCTAGTCTCTTCCATTCATCCGCATACCCGATTCTCCCTAATAGCACCCTAATGCCACTAGGAAAGAACACTAGAGGGGGTGAATATCGTTTATGCTAATCTAATCTGATTTAATACCAATTAAAACTAATTGACAAGTTATCCTAACAAATAAGATATGCAATGAGTTATTAGTAAGGATAAACAATATAAACAAGGGTGAAACAAGATAACCAAAAGATACAATTATGATAGGGCAATGTAAACAATGCAAACACACAATATGATCACGGAGTTTGAACCTTCCGTCCTACGTCTCTGCTCCCCACTCCCGGGGAGAAATCCACTATCACACCGGGTTTTCAACGATCACCCAAAAACGTTTACACCACACAATATCGGTTTTCAACGCTCACCGATCAACGTTCACAATCTTACAATGTAACTACACTAACTACCACACCAAGTGTTGGTCTCTAGCATGTGTCTCCCTCAAGTGTTAGGAATTACAACATCTCTCTAGGCATTACCACCTACCCCACTCCTTTTGGGACGACCCCGTCTCTCACCACACACTCCTCTTATCTCTCTAGGCATTACCACCTACCCCACTCCTTTTGGGACGACCCCGTCTCTCACCACACACTCCTCTTGGTGTACTAGTGTATTACAAACACTCCTTTTGGGACGACCCCGTCTCTCACCACACACTCCTCTTGGTGTACTAGTGTATTACAAAGTGAACCTCACAATTATAGATCACAGTACAAATGATTGTTCTCTAAATAAGGTGAGAACTTAATTAAGCACAACCCAAAGTTATAATCTCTCACATCCCCAATTATATTATACTATGTATAAAAATACTAGAAGCTCAAGTGGGTGTGTGTAATAATGACATTTAATAAAACAAACTAAACTCAAATAAATCTAGCTTTAAGGAAATAAAAAACAAACAAATAAATAGCTAGATAAAGAGTTTAGAAAAACTTCTCTATAGATCAAGAGAGAGAGGGAGAAGAGTTGGATGCTCAAATACAATTGATGATCTTCCTTAAGCTCTTGTGAAAATTGCTTCACAAACAAAACTCTTAAACACTCTTTTAAACAAACACAAAACACCCTTAAACTTATTTTAAACAATTCTCTTAACTCCATGAAACTGAGGATATGTGGGTATATTTATAGGAACCCTAAAGCCAAGAGAAAACAAGGCAAAAGGACCAAAAAAATCAAAACTAGAACAGGCTGGAAAAAACTAGCCGTTACAGTATCAGTCGGCTGATGAGCTAACCGTAGAGGCATTTTTCAGCTCATCAGTCGACTGACGGCCTTTATCAAACGACCAAAATAAAATAAAAACTTTTGACAACTGCAGGCACTTTTATCAGTCGACTGATCGATCGACTGATTGCATCAGTCGACCGACCAATCTACTGATAACAAGTATACAACCTGATTAAAATAGAAAATCTGATTTTCAAAACTCTTTTACAAATAGCAAATAAAATTAGGAAAATGTAAAACTTTGAAAAATTATTGTAAACATGATAATATACATGTTACAAAAACTAGTTTTCATAAATCACCTCCAAAATATGAAAACTCTTCATTTTTCAAATATGTCCAAAAACATGAAAACTAAACATACATGTTTTTGACATTTGACTTAACAAACTTTTAAAACTTTGTGAGATATTTTTATAGACTTGATAAACTATGTATAAAGTGATGTTGAAGTCTCTAAACTAATAAAATAATATTTTATCAAAAACACCTATATTTTAATAAAATCAATAAATATGTGTGTGTGATTAATATGAGCTTAAAGTATCTACACATAAGTATAAATCTAAAACTAAATTATCCAACCTTGATAGATCTTCATTGTAGCTCAACTTGGTACACTTTGCGGATGAAACTTGAACTTGGATCTTCAACATGAATTGCATTGCTTCATTCCACTATTCCGCCAACCTCTATTGGATATGATCGTTGAAACTCAATTCCATCCATCCTCTAACATGTTGTTCGCCTAGAATAAATACAAAACACAAATACTAGACAAACAACATTAGTTGTAAATTATTTGTTAATCATCATCAAAACAAAAGGACCCAACAATCTCCTCCTTTTTGATGATGACAAACAATTTACAAAAAGAGATATATGCATGAAAGGAAATTAATATGTAAATTAGAATTATCATGCATATAACCAAAACAAGATATACTCACAATATTTCTCCCCCTTTGATAATATCAAAAAGAAAAAAAATAAAAGAATGAA